AGAGTACTGAGCAAGTGGGGAGGGGGAGGCGAGTCTGGAGCGAGAGCAGCAGGCAGAGCGGGAAAGGCCTGGAGGATCCTGTAGAACTCTGTTTTGTTGGTTTTTATTTTTCCCAATGTTTTACAACCATCACCACTATTTATTTCCAAAACATTGTCATCACCCAAATCAGAAACTCAGCATCCATTAAGCAATAATGCCCCATCCTCCCCTCCCCTGGGCCACTAGGAACTTCTAATCGACTTTGCGTGTCTATGCATCTGCCCCTGGCAGACACCTCATATAAGTGGGGTCATACAATATTTGCCATTCTGTGACTGACTGAATTTATTCTGCATAGAGTTTTCAAGGTTCACCCATGTTGTAGCATGTACCAGGACTTCTTTTTTCTTTATGGCCAAGTAATATTCCATTGCATGGATGGACCCCATCCCATTTATCCATTCATCTGTTGATGGGACAATTGGTTTGTTCCCACCTTTTGGCTATTGTGACTAGTGATGCAATGACTGTTGGTATACAAGTATCTGTTTGAGTCCTGATATCAAGTCTTTTGAGTACATACCTGGGAGAACTCTGGTTTTGACATGAGTGAGATGAGAAACCATTGGAGGGGTCTGAGCAGAGGAGAGACACGATCAGATTGATGTCTTGAAAGCATTCCTCTGCTTGCTGTATTGAGAACAGGCTTTGAAGGAGGGGAAGCAAGGATGGAAGCAAGGAAACAAGTTAGGCTACTCCAACAGTCCAGGCAAGAGATGACTATGGCTTGGGTAAAACTAACAGAGCCGAGATGGTGAGAAGTGAGCAGAGCCTGTGTGTATTTTGAAGAAAGATGCAACAAGTTTCTGCAACAAATTAAAGGTGGAGTGTGAGGCAAAGAGAGGCATCAAGGATAACTCCAAAGTTCGGCCTGAGCAATGAGAAAAGTGAATCACCATTAACTGAGTTGGAGAAGACTGGGATGGGGGTGGGAAGGGCAGGATTTTACAGAGAAATCAAGAGTCGAATGTTGGTCATGTTAAGTCTGAGGTACCTATTAGACTTCTCAGTGGAGATACTGAGCAGGCAGATGGGTATGGGAGTCTGGAGTAAAGAGGTGTGATTCTGATAATCATCAATGTCTAGATGGTATTTGGAGACAAGGAACTAAATGAGGTCCCCCAGGGAGTGAGTTAGAGAAGAGTCCAAGAGTAAGGAACCCTGGAATTCTAGTAATGGGGTCTGAGAAGGAGCAAGCAGTGAAGTAAAGGGGCAGAGAGGGTGAGACGGAGAAGGAAGGAGAGGGGGAAAGAAGAGGGAAAGGGACAGAGACCAACAAGAAAAAGTATTTCAGGAAGGAGGGAGAGAGCATTAAATGCTAATGATTAAACGCTTATAATTGGTAGAATGAGGCAGCGGTGGTTCAGTGGTAGAACTCTCCCCTTCCAAGAGGAGACTCAGGTTCAATTCCTGGCCAGTGCACCTCATGCACAGCCACCACCTGTCTGTCAGTGGACGCTTGTGTATTGCTGTGATGCTGAAGAGGTTTCAGCAGAGCTTCCAGACTAAGACAGACTAGGAAGAAAGGCCTGGTGATCTACTTCCAAAAATCAGCCAATGAAAACTCTATGGATCACAATGGTCTGAGTCACAACTGATTGTGGGGATGGCACAGGACTGGGTAGTGTTTCATTTCACTGTGCATGGGGTCACCATTGAGTGGGGGGCCAATTCGACAGCAATTAATAACAACAATTGGTAGAGTAGGATAAGAACCAAGATTTGGCCACAACGCAGCAGCAGACAACTGTGGAGGTGGGGTTCAGGAATAGGAGAGGTCGGGGGAGATACTTGATGCTCCTTTCTAACATGCACAAATGACTTTGGGGAACAGATTTAGAAAGGGAAAATATTTTACTAATAGTGCGTGAAAATATTTCGAGCTAGATCTTCACAGAAGCTCAACTTACAGATGGATGAGAAACTGGGGTTCCATTTCTTTCCCGACTCTGCCTCCCAACGGGTTTGTTTCCCACTCTAGGGCTCAATATGGAAGATGGAAGCTCAGCCACGGTTGTTTGTGTAAATGGCAAAGTTGGGTTTATAGCAGTTTAATCAGCAGCATTAATAGTGTCACCTAAGCTTAATGATACCAATTATAACCACGGTAAACACTCCCAAGCAGCTATAAACACTGATATTAAAGATGAACTCCTTGCGTTCGGTCAATGTTGTTTTTAAAAAAACTAAAGTAGAAGGGTTCAGGTTTTGCATATTCTCACGTTCTCACTCCTACTCAGGATGAAGAAAGCATACGGGGGTGAACCTTGCAGGGGAACACTCCGTTCTTCTCTTCATCATCTATAGCTGTTTGGGGTGGTTCCCCAGAACAGACCTAAGTCCACTGCATTTGGCCTCAATGACAGAAGTAAGCCTGGGGCTGTGTGTCTTACAGAAGCCATCACCCATGGAACAGGGACATGGCTGGATAATGACTCTAGTCCAGGCAATATTGGTTCCATAGCCTAACAAGGTCTGGCAAGTCCAGAAGCAAGTAAAGGGGATTTCTAAAGGTCAGACAGAGAGCCTATCAAAACTCTAACCAAAGCAAAAACTTGGGACCTCGATTTAATAACAACTGTTTGTCTCTGTGCAGAGGTCCCATAGGAATGATGCTAACCACCCCTTCTTCTCCAAGGAAGGAACTCGTGTTTGACGGCCAAAGACACTCCATGAGAGGGTGATGCTAGACAGTGAGGATGGCGGGGACACAGAGAGGATGTGAAGAGCGGATGTGAGACCACCTGTTTCCACAGGGCTTCAGTATTACATGCAACAGGGAAAGAAGCCAGTCTCAGAAAGCTACATACCTTAACTACTTCCAAAACATCAGCATTTGAAAACCCTATGGAGCGCAGTTCTACTCTGACACAAATGGGGTCACCATGAGTTGGAGACAACTCGACGGCAACTGGTAGGTGGTATGAGTCCAACTATATGACATTCTGGAAAAGGCAAAACTATAGAGACAATATATAGATCAGTGGTTGCCAAAGGTTCAAAAGTAGGGGAGGGATGAATAGGTGGAGCACAGGACATTTTTAGGGTAGTGAAACTACTCTGCACAACACCATAATGGTGGACCCAAACCTTAAAAAAAAAAATTGCTATCAAGTTGACATGACATTATTTAGTTGTCAAAACCCATAGGATTGCCCAACACAAAGAGTGAACTCCTTTGTAAAATATGGACTTCAGTTAGTAATAATAGATCAACATTGGCCACCAACTGTAACATATGTACCACGGGAATGTAAGACGTTAGTGATAGAGGAAACTGTGCAGAAGGAAAGGGGTATATAGGAGTAACTCTCTGTACTTTCTGCAGAATTTGTCTGTAAATCTAAAAATGTTCTAAAAAATAAAACCTATTAAAAAATTACGTGCAACTTCTCTGTGTATGAGTGACGTGGTACCCAATATCCAGCCTACTGACTAGCCAGAGGTCTCTCCCAGGCTCAAGAGCCTGTGAAAACACACTGGTGTCAGAGACACTACCATTTAAGAACAGCAGTCCTCCCCAATCTTGTTCATGGCCGCCAGAGGAAAGAACAATCTGTGTAGAACACACTGGAATAAACCGAGGACGCCTCTGGTGACCACAACCTTCTCAGCCCGGACCCACTGCTGTGACCCACTGTTATGGACTGAATTGTGTCTCCCCAAATATGTGTTGTAAATCCCAGCCCCTATACCTGTGGTAATGATCCCATTTGGGAATGGGTTTTCTTTGTAGTGTTAATGGACACTATTAGTGTAGGGTGTGTCTTAAGTGTAGGGTGTGTCTTAAGTCAATCTCTTTTGAGATATAAAAGAGATGAAGCAAGCAAGTGAGCAGCAGAGATGGGGGAAGAGAGA